GAGGAATATATACGTTACAATGAATATCAAATTATTTATATTAAATGAATATAGTTTAATTTCTAATTAAGTGAAACTGAATGTTAATTAGCATACATGAGTGTGAATAATAAATTACATTCTTAAATGTGAAATTTTAATTAATATTAATTAAACGAATGTAAATGTTAATTAATTAAGAATTAATTAATTTTTTTAATCGAATCGGCCTGATAGGTTCAACTGAGAAAACTGGGATTTGGGACCAAAATCGGTTCGATTAGGCTTATAAAACCTATAATTAAAAATCCATTAAACTGATCAATTTTTGAAAAATTCGTGACCCATTTTCAGTTTAACCAGTTCAACATATGTAAATGCATATATTTTTAAAATTTTTAAATGTAATTTTTTTTAATTTTTGTAAATTTATACTTTTTAATTTTTAAAAAACCACGGTTCAATCCCTTTTCGACCCGATTCAACCTTTTGACCATTAACCCTTTCTCTTTTTCGGATCGATAGCCGAGTCAATTTTTAAACGATGAAATTAATAACATAGACATGGACATAAATATGAAACTCTAATTAATATTAATTAAAAGATTGTGAATATTAATTAATTGAGAATTAATTAAAGTATTTATTGTAGTTTGAAAATTAAATACAAAAAGTAAGATATTATTGAAATAATTGAATTGTAATAGGGTTATAATCGTCCAAAAAATTATTCTCACTTGACATGATATTTAATATAGGGTAATTATATTACCACTACAAATTTTAATTACTACACCACAATTTTTAGTATTTTCCTTATTTACTTAAATAACCTTAAGTAAAATTACATAATTAGAGTTTAATATATAATTAGCCTAAAATAAATTATTATTCCACCGCAAACAAAAATCTTAAAGTTTTTTCTCCTTTTTTTTTTTTCCAACATCTAATTGTGCATAGCTTTTCCATTGATGGCGACTTTTGCTTTCTACGACGGTGGCAAAGATAAAGTTCTTTTAAGTTGAACCCCAACCTTGAGGGCCCCCACCGACCCTGCCCTGAGCCATTGTGGAGGAGGTAAAT